AGCCGATGCATATGCGCTCGGCTCGGCTGAGCTGCTCAGCCATGATCGGGAGCTGTACGGGCTATTGTGAATAGCCCGTACAGCACCCCTTCGGTTCTACTGAACCGAAGGGGTCCTGGGGCCGAAGCTAGCCGAAAGATCGGCCGAAGCTACGGCCAGATCCTTCGGCAGCTTCGTGAATAGACCCCTTAGTGTTGTCAGGCCTGTAACATGAAGTGTTGTTACTGGGAGGATCTCCAGATAACAAATATTGCAATAGATTCACACAAAATAATTTGCTTAAGAAAACCGTTTACTGGGAAACATAATGCCAAATATACAGAATAATAGAGCTTGGGTTTATATAAAGAGTTTTCTTTTGTAGGGATCAAGCTCCTTTCCACAATACACATTAATATATGAAAAAAGACATGTTCACGTGTTGCAGAAAGGCAGCCCATTCATATTTAATAAAGGTGCCCACACACCTTACAATTTATCTGCAGATTTTCTGTGGTCAGATGGAAAAGGTGCAACAGATTCCTTCATCTACATTAACCTCCCTGGCAGTATGATTATGGAGGATTTTAGCATCCAAAAGCGTTACATTGTTTTTCATGGAAATATGTTGTTTTACATTGTAGGCCTGTAGTTCTTAGTAAATCTTAGGAATAACTCACCTAAATCTGTCCAAACAAGAGTCCAGTAGACATCCCGGGTATGATAAAGTTTGAAAAACAAAATAATATGACAATATGCACCTGCATCTCTTTTTTAGTAACACAACAGTGTGCATTCGGGTTTAATGATTGGCTTAAGGGTTACAGTTAGGTTGTGGGTTTACGTTGAGGGTTGCATTTTCTTCTTCAGAGGTTATATTTAGGGTTATAGGCTAGGAGTTAAAGACATAGTCCAGCTTTTAGAAAAAATTAATACATTCACACACATTGATAAAATAAAAAAATTTGCAACTATTAATTTTTTACATTGGAGCCTGTGACTCAGGCACCTGCAAACTATTCCACTAGCCCCAGGTCTGTACCAAGGTTCGGCCCAATTTATAATCAGAAGCCTGTGGGGAGACAAACCTCATGATTTAGGTAAGTGAGGGTGGTTTGAGGGTGTGTGCTGGGGGGAATGTTTCCATGTATAGACCGTATATATAATGAGACAGCCTAAGGCGGTTGCCTCAGACGGCATCTCATTGGGGAGTGGCTGGGTGATGGGGGTCTGCGGCACAGGGGCAGCCACACCGTCCTAGGTTGTTAAGAGCTGTTTGCAACCTGTGACGCTCTGTTTAGTGCCGCTCTGTTTACTGGCATCACCCATTGCCAGGAGCTGAGTGGGGACGCTCTTGCTTGGGTCCACATAGTTCCTGGCAACCAGTGATGCCAGTGTGCTGGGCAGGAAGCCAGACAGATCGGCTGATAGTGGGGTCTGCTGTGCTCCCCACCCTCTTTGAAAAGATCAACCGCGCACGCCTCCCTTCTCCCACCACTGACCATTGCCTGACAACACCTCTCCCACCATGCCACCCCGAACAACATCTCCTCAGGCAGATTTATCTAGGGACAGCCCTGTGTAAACCCTAACTGAGTTACATTTAGTTTAAAGTATATCATGGACAACTGCCAATATTTAAAAATACTTTGCTGCTTCTCACTACTTTAGGCCAAAACTTTGAAATCCTTTTTTTCTTTGGAAAACAGAGTTTAATACCCATTGGATTTGTGGGTGCGAAATCGAAAAACAAAAGAGACTGAACATTGCAGAACATGAAGAACATTGTAGCTGGCACCTTCTATACCGAAGTACAGGCCCTCACTGATTATGTGCATTGCTGTGTTTTGTAGGTCTGTCCTGCTGTGGCACCGACTACGTGAACATGTCAGAGACGATTTGCTGTGCAGCGTCTAATGGACAATTTAAGGCACATCTAAAGTCAAATAATGGGACACCATTAAAATGCTGTGAAATGGAGCTGATTACTGAAGGGGAGGAATGCTGTAGTGGAATTGGATATAATCCACTGACTCATGTTTGTTCTGGCAAGCCATCGACAGAAGACTTCACCAAGGTAATTAAAGAAAGCCCGCTCTTGTCTTTGCTTACACAACTATAGAAATGTACTTGGCAATACTTTCGGAACATTAACCCCTTCATGACTGAGGCCTTTTTTTCATTTTTTGCACCCATGTTATATTCCACATTTTAGGCCTGAAAATTACTTAAAACCCCCCAACATTATATATTTTCTGAATGCCAAGACCCTATAGAATAAAATGGTGGTAGTTGCAAATTTTTATGTTGCGCAATATTAGCGCAACTCCTTATTAAAAGGCGGGGGTGTCCGGCCTCGGGGGGGGCGGCCCCTTCTTCGGGACGCAGAAGCGATCTGGCGACAGATAAGTCGCCAGGATCGCTTCTGTTGTAAAGCCGACAGTCGGCTCTACAAGTTTAAACAGAGTCCCGGCGGCAAAAGTCACCGGGAGTCTGTTTAAACAGCCCCGATGCTGGCGACGTACACTGTACGTCGTCAGTCACGAAGGGGTTATAGCATTATCTATACCCAGGAACAAAATGTAATATATTGCAGCTTACCAGTCCTTAGATTAGTTTTCTTTCTAGTTAAAGGAGAACTATGGGGTCAGTGTTTTTCCCCATAGTTCTCCTTAGGGTAACGGGAGGACACAAACTAGCGTCCTCCCGTTACCCTAAGCTCAGTATACCGCGAGCTAATGCTCGTGGTATACTGAGACGCCGCAGCGGATCCTGACTTAGACGACGGGATCCGCCCAGCTGCGTGAGTGACAGCTGGCTCTGCCTATCTAGAGGCAGAGCCAGCTGTACCCGCCCCCTCCCCGTCCGTTCCGTCAGTCAGCACTGGCAGATCGGAGCGGGGAGAGGGGAATCCAGCTCCTCCCCCTGTCACGGCAGAGAGCCGTGACAGGATGGAGAGGTGAGCGAACCCGGTATGTGTTCGCTCACCTCCCAATCTACTGAGCCGACCTGTGACAGTCTCATTGTCACAGGTCAGCTTAGAACTATGAGGTGAGTGAAAAGCAATCACCTCATAGTTCTCCTTTAAGTACATTTTCTGCAGCTACAAGAAAGAAAAAAAAACTGTTGATGCTGCAAAAAAATCCAGTGTCCTTGTTACTTCCTGAGCACTGACTAAAATCTCAAACACTAGTATCAGCCTTCGCAGTTCTATTATGTGGACTTCAGTATACCGCCCCCTATATAATGAAGATGGAAAGCAGACGGGAGTGTTTGTAGTCCAAATCAGGAGAGTAGCCTAGTATACACTGCTTCTCTATAGTACAGTGAGTGAACGTGATGACCATAGGAGAGGAAGTGTGTTACTGGCAGGATCACCAGTTGAAAATAAAAGAGAAAAAGCCAGAGAAAAAAATGCATGCAGTCACCATTCTAAGGACTAGTAAGCTGCAATATGTTACATTTTTGTTGTTGTTTTGAAAATAAACATTTAGCACTCTGCAAGGAAAGAGTTGGATAGAGCAAGATGAGCAACTGCATAGCATCATTCACTTGTGCATTGAAAATTAGCACTTGAGCTACTGAGCTCTGTAAACTATAGGGTGTTCCCAACATAACAGATAAGGAGAGTCTGAGAAACATGTGGAAAGGAGAGTGTAGCTCCACCCGCTGGTTACATATGAAAGTACAAACTATTTATATGCAGTCTTTTGTACTTACATAAATAAAAAATGTTTACATTTTTTAAAATGCTACACTTTGGCCCTGACCATAATAAATAAAAAAATAAAAAATAGAGTACCAAATTACTATATATTAGTGGGGAAGAAAAAGACAGAACCATATATGCTTCTGTTGGTTGGGGGGTTAAAGTCAACCTAAAAAAGACTGGAAGTTATAACATGTGCCTGCCCTCTTACTCACTAACTTTGCCAGAGTCTTGCTCTCCAACTTAATGCTTGCCAAATGTGGTATATGTTTGATAAAAAGCTTTCTCCATGTGCTAAGAGTGGATTCCTGAGCCCAGATCCTGGTAATGGTGTCTATAGACTGGATGAGTTAGTGTTTGATAAAGTATGTAAACAAGGGGTTAAAGTGACCTAATATTGCCCAAAATAGAGGCAAGAAAGGGAATACCTATTAGGCCCCATTCACACTGCGCGATTCGCAAATTGCGCGTTTGTCGCGCGATTTGCATTTTGCGCGATTCGTCGCACGATATTGTGCAAATGCTTGCATTGAGCAAGCTAGCATCGCGGCAAAATCCGCTCCCAAAAGGGTCCTGCTGTAGCGACGCACGACCCGCGACAGCAGGACCCTTTGCCCCATTGCCAAGCATTGGAGAGCGATATCGCGCAGTAAATAGCCGCGTAATTACCGCGCGATAAATCGTTCAGTGTGAACGGGGCCTTAGACATGTGCACCAGCAAAAAAATTGTTTGGTTTTGATTCGGATTTTGCTTTATTTAGTTTTTTGGAATTCGGGTCCCAAAGTCAATTCGTTTCGGAATTCGGGTTGGGACGAAATTCGTTAGCGGAAATCCGTACGCAATTTTGATTCGTTTCGTTCGTTCATTGCAGCAAAGTGACATTTGAGAAGGAAAAAAGGTTTTTTGTTAATGTCACCTTGCTGCAACGAAATTTCTTCCAAAAAACGACAGTTCGTCCAAAAAAAACGAATCAGAAACAGAGCCCTCCTACCCTGGTGAGACCCCACAGAGCACTGGTCTAATCAGGCTTGCGAGACCCGACAAAGCCATGGTGGGAGCCCTGGGGAGACCCTACGGAGCCCTGGTGCTGGTGAGACCCCACATCCCCCTGGTGAGATCCCACAGAGCCCTGGGGAGACCAGGGCTCTGTGGGGTCTCACCAGGGCTCTGTGGGATCTCACCAGGGGGATGTGGGGTCTCACCAGCACCAGGGCTCCGTAGGGTCTCCCCAGGGCTCCCACCATGGCTTTGTCGGGTCTCGCAAGCCTGATTAGACCAGGGCTCTGTGGGGTCTCACCAGGGCTCTGTGGGATCTCACCAGGGGGATGTGGGGTCTCACCAGCACCAGGGCTCCGTAGGGTCTCCCCAGGGCTCCCACCATGGCTTTGTCGGGTCTCGCAAGCCTGATTAGACCAGGGCTCTGTGGGGTCTCAACTGGGCACTTTGGGGTCTCCCCTGGGCTCTGTAGGGTCTCGCCAGCCCTGGTTAAACCATTAAGCCCCAGGTAGACCATATAGAGCCCTGTGGTATCTCACCAGGGCTCTGTGGGAGGAGCCCTGGTGAGACCCCACAGAGCCCTGGTTTAATCAGGGCTCTGTGGGGTCTCACTATGGCTCTGAGGGGTATAATCAGGCTGGTGAGACCCTACTGAGCCCTGGTTTAACCAGGGCTCTGTGGGGGTCTCCCCCGGGCTCTGAGGGGTCTAACCAGGCTGATGAGACCCCACAGAGCCCTGGTGAGACCCTACAGAGACCTGGGTTATTCAGGGCTCTGTGGGGTCTCATCAGGGCTCTTTGGGGGTCTTAACTGGGGCTCTGTGGGGTCTCACCAGCCTGGTTAAACCCTACAGAACCCTGGTGAGACCCCACAGGCCTGAGCGGGGCCTCATGTTTAGGTTTCGCCTAAGGCCTCGCAAACTCTAGAGCCGCCTCTGCATATAAAGTATCCTGTTCTCTGTTATAAACATGTGGTAAGAAAGAAAAGTTTGCAGCCCGTACAAAAGGGGTACAACATTAGTGCATGCCTAAAGCAGCATAAATGAGAAATAGAATATCTCAGAATAAATGCTATTGAAGTCCAAAAACACAAAAGCACAAATCTCTCCAAAATACAATTTATGCGTTTTGAGCTGTTTTTCCGATTCCTGCTAGAGCTCCCCATTGAACCATCTTCTGATTTCAAAGAGAAGTGTTCATAGTCAGTTGGCATTCTGCCGGCATTGTTTAAATTGAATGCAGGCAAGTTTCATGTATGTGTTTTCTTTTGAATAGATATAGTGAAATTATCTGTTTAGAATCATTTACTGACTCAATTTAATGATTCAGGTTTTTATTTATTGAATTTCCATTTACACAGGGGGAAATGTGCCCTATGAATACTCTGTGTCCTGCATCGTTAGCTTCTACTGCACATTGTGGAGAGTGCAGCTTTAACTCCTCCACCCACTCCTGTTTCTGGGTAGAAGGGAGCAAATTTAATAAGGACAGCCTGCTGGATGGAAACTCAGTTTGCCGAACAGATGAAGACATTATCTACACGGGGGAAGCACGCACGTATTTGTTTGTTGGTAATGTTTGTTTTATTGTGACATTATAGTTATCACAAAATGACAGAGAGTGCTTAAAGCTGAACTCCGGGGGAAAGATTAAAAGTACCCTTGCAGTGAAGGTCCCTTAGTGCTGCAAATGGTAAACGCTCGTTTTGGCTAGGGTGGCTTTAAAAGAAGTTTGCTTGCATTACACCTTGCTCCCGCAGGCTTCTTTCTCTATGTGCCACCGCTCCCCCAAAACCGACCAGCAGCCCTGCATTATCCATGCAGGATGTTGAAGGCCAAACCACATCCCAGAGTGTGGAGGAGAACTTTCACTTTACAGATCCAGGCTGTGGACATTGCAATATTTACATACAGTATACGTACAATACATTTTAAAACATGCCCTCACTGACCTCTGTAGCTGAGGCCACTGTGGAGTCATTAATGGCTCATTCACACAACCATTCATGGCAGTACACCACCAAGATCAGCATATTTATGTGTTTCAAAATGGCTGCGGTCACTCTGCCTGTACATATCAATTACATGGTAGGAGGCTCTGCAGCTCTTCGCATGTATTAACACATGGAGTAAATACCTGTGGTTAGGGGACAGATGAGTTGCCCTGGCCACATACAGTCTGCATTCGGAGCTGCTCTTCTGGTCCTAGCCACATGTAAGCACTGGAGGAGCATGCAGAGTCTGCCTGTCATTGATATGTACAGGCTTTCTGTGTGCAGCTAATCGAAAATACCTGGCCATACCCAGTGCAGACATCAGGGTGGTGTATGGCCATAAATGACTGTGTCGCCCTGAGGAAGGGATCCTGCACGTCCCCGAAATGTTGGCTCTATGACGCATGTGGCACATCAGTAACAGTGCTTATGCTTCTTGCACATTGCAAGTGAGTGCTGGTGACTTATATCGTCGATTGGACTGTGGCACGGCCCCATCCGTGTCGTCACTTCGAGCATCAACAGTTATTTTATATGGTCAAAGCGCTGTATGGAGTGCAGATATTTCACTAACATTCTGTGGACTACAGAACACCTCCCTTCTATATAATAGAGAAGAGGCATGAGAAAGTTATCTTGTAGTCCTTTCCTAGGGTGATCACATTGCTCCTCCATAGATGCAATAAAGTGAGTAAGCGTAGCCACCCAAGAACAGAAAATGTGTTACTGGAAGGATCACAAGGTGAAAATTAAGGTAAAAAAGCCTAAAAAAGAAAACAAATGCAACTACCCACGGACTGAAAAGCTCTAATATTGACCTCTTTGTTCAAATGAATGGCAACGCAATGCACCTCCAGCACCAAAACCCATAGTAGGTGTGATTGCGTAGTACAGTGCGTTAATGTCACACAACTGTTCGATTAACGCACTGTACTAGTGTGAACGGGCCCTCAAAAACACTGATAGACACACACAACCACAGACACATTCTCACACACATTTACACACTGAAAAAAAAAGAAAATAAATGTATTTATTCTTCTTGAAGATCCACCCAGTCTCCCTATGATACGAGAACTGGAGTGGATCCTCAGCCTGGGGTCCAGTGTGGACTACTGTGCTTTGTCGGAACTCCATCCATATGTTCATTGCTCGTACAGCTCCCTTGCGCACCCTGTAGAGGTGATGGCAGCCAGAATGTGACGGCACTCTGGTCCAGGAACATCTAGGGGGAGGCTGAGGAGCATCTCACCTAGAAAAGTGACCCACTGAACATGGGGTCGTGACCCACTTTTGGGTCACGACCCACCAGTTGAGAACCAAGGCTTTAAACCATGACTTATTTGTTTTTTTTTAAGAGGAAGATCGGGTATGGGTTGACATGCAATAAAACATTTGTGAGTAATTTTTAACAATTGGTGAACAAGGTTAGGAGTGTTGCTTGAAAGTTTTTTCTTAATAAAGTTTAATTGAATTTGATGTCAGACTTTTTGTAACCATGGAACTTTTTGTTCCATGGTGAAGGTTGTGTAGTGTTTTGTTTATTTCATGAGAAACTCCTCTAACCACAATGGGTGGAGGGACCTGCCCAGCATCATATTAAACATGGCAGATAAAGCTACTCATTGTCTTATAATGGGAAATATTTAACCTTTGGCTGTTTTTCTTTGTTTCTTTCCTTCTACCCACAGCAATATATTCAATATAACACATGATTACATTTTCTGTCTCTAGACACCAGCTTACAGCCTTTCTCCACTTATGAATATCGAGTATTGAGCTGGAACAGCTTTGGTCAAGGCTTTAGCAATGCTAGCCAAGTGACTACCAATCAGGACATACCTCGGGGAATACGTCCACCAAAATGGACCTTAGTGGTCAAACGTGAAGACTTGATTTCTCTGATGTGGGAGGAACCCACCGAATTAAACGGTATTGGTATATTTTAGATTCCAGACTTTATTGTGATCATTTGACCTTTATATACTGAATGTCTTAATAAGTTTTTTAAAATGTGTGCAGCAAAACCTTTTTCCTAGTTTTAGACAGGGTGGGGAAGGGATAGAACCAGGTTTCTTTTTTGCTAGCTGGGGATTTACCCTCACTTCCTGTCCTGCTAACAACATTTTACTAGACCGTAAGTGAGGGGATCTACACGACAGCAATAGCAACACAGACAGAAATAAAAATGTTTTTCACCCTTAGAACTGTAACATATTTGCCTTCCTAAAGCTGGCGATACACTGCTCAAGATTCAAAGACTGTGTGGCCTGGTTTTTTTGTTGACTTTTGTTGATGGAGCCAGTCCAAAATTTGTTGTCCGAACAGTGACTGCCAATCAGCTGCAGCCAATCTGTAGGTTTCAGGCAGCATCTCATTACGTCACGCAGAGCGTGAGCATCCCAGGATGCAGGCAGAGCCTTCCAGGATGCTAAGAGCCCTAGCAACCTGTGACCCCCTGGCTGGCATCCCAGCAAACTCCTGCCAACCAGTGACGTTAGCTGTGTGGGACGCCATGAACCATGAGAGGTCCCAACCCGGAAACCTACACCATAAGCCACAACTAAACCCTGTCATCACCCTCCCTCCAGGACGTGCACCAATAGCAAGAAACACCTCCCGCCCGGGAACGTGCATCATGAGGACCTCCCGTCCCCCTCCCAGCTCAGGCAGAAAAATGTCTAGTGACGCCCCTTATTTATTAATTCTTTATTAAATTTTCACAACCATACATATAAACATCTTAGCATACATATTCCATACATTAACACTCTCCCGTCCCCCAATCCTTATCCATATCCCGCACTTCTCAGTAAAGTCCCTGGTAAAAATCATAGAATGTCTCTGCGATTTCAGTCGTGGAATGTACTACTGTCCCAGTTTTATTTTTAATTTTGGATATGTATGTAATGGATTGTTTGGCCTTAAGTGCTTTCGCCATAAGTCTGCTAGGTTTGTTCCCCATCTCGTAATATTGCCTTTGTGTTACAGTGAATGCCCGCTTAGTATCTATCTCCATTATGGTTTTAAGCTGTTCTCGTTTTAGTGTCAGTTCCTTCAGTGTCTTTGGATCTAATGTTGTTTTATGTGTTATTTCTAACTGATGGATTATTTCCAATAGGGTCTGTATGGCCCGGGTTCTCCCTTTCTTGCGGTGGGCCCCTATAGCCACATGCTTCCCCCTTATCACTAGTGTATGCGCCTCCCAGATACTTACAGCTGACATGCCCTCTGTTATGTTCTCCCTAAAATAATTTTTCAAATCCTTTTCCAATTCTTGGAAATCATTCCTTTTAAGATGGTTTCCGGCCATCCTGGGAGTGTTGGGGGGGGTAATTCCGATTTTTTAACAAAAGTCTACAAGGTCCTCTGGAAACCGTAGTATCGCTGTTCTGCCTTCTCTCGTTGCAATAAGACAAGCCGGGAACCCCCATCTGTATAGGATACGTTGTTCTATTAATACTTGCGTCAATGGCCGCAGGGCCCTCCTGCGCGCCAAAGTCTCAGGTGCCAAATCTACAAAGATCTGTACTTTCACTCCATTGATTTCCATCCCTGGTGCATTTTTCAAGCTTTCCATAAGTTGTACTTTGTCTGCATAATAGTGAAACCGCACAATTACGTCCCCCAGCATTTTGGGACGTATTGCTCTATGCACTCTGTCGAAGATCAACTCTGTAGATGGTAACCTTTGCATTAAAGTATTAAAAGTCTCTCTGATCTTATCTGGTAACTCCCGATCTCCTATAGCTTCTGGGACCCCCCGCAGTCTCAAGTTATTTCGTCTGTTTCTGTTTTCATAGTCTTCCATTTTATATGATAACGTTCTTATTGTATGCTCATCAGTTCTACTCTGATCCTGTAGCTCCTGGATAGCCTTAGCGTGCTCATCAAGGCGTTCCTCAGTCTCCTCTACCCTTTTCAGTATCTGTGATAACTCAGTCCTAATTGTAGTCAATGATGCTTCCATATGCCCCAGCAAACTTGTCAGTTCTAATTTCGTGGGCAAAGATTGTGCTAGGGTATGCAAGGTTATCACGTTACCTTGATGAGAGTCCTCTGAGGTGCCCGACATCTCCAGTGAGCTGGCTCGTCCGTCCGTGGTGTTCCCCATCTGATCTCCTTCGTGCTCCGACAGCGGGACTACGTCATCAGACTGCGCACTCTCTCTTCCGTCCCGTCCTTGGTGCCCGTGGTCTGATGGTTCCGGGGCCCAGAGACGCCTAATCGTCCCTGTCCGGCTGCCTTGGTGGCCGACTTCTTCTGCGCTCTCCGTCCCCCCATAGCGACTGCACTGGAGTGGGGCACAGAAGTAGGATCAGGTCAGTTTTCCTGGGTATACTCTTTCGTTTTTAGTCAATCCGGCATGGAGGGTGATCGTCTGGGCTGCTGCTACTCGCGGTCCTCTGCCATCTTAGATAGGCTCCACCTCCCCACTAACTCGATAGGCACATTTTTACAGCTATTTGCCTAATCCTTGTAATAAAGCCAATGAAACTGACCCGGTAGTAGTATTTTAAACTCACTTTTACTACTTTGTTACAGGAAAACCAATACAAAAACACATTTCTGCAATCATACATACACTATCTACTCTTTCTAGTACATGCAATGGTTTCAATAAGAGCATACACTACAGTTACTTAGCTTAGATTGTTGTTGTTCTACAAATTACGTATTGAACAGGACTTCGAGGTGGTTCAGTCTTGGATGCAGTCTCTCTCGAAGTGTGGCTTAGTGTCCTTTCTGGTCTCTATGATGTCCTTCCATGGTTTCTGCCCATCTATCTTTTAATTTCCCCCATTCACTCAAAGGAGGGATCCATGATTGGTCCAAAGAAAACAATCATATATTTCTCAAGACAGTGATTGGATGGCAACTGAAGTCTCTTTAACTACTGACAAACAGTGGCCTAATTCTCTTTCTGAGAATAGTTTTAAATAAATGTGATTTTCCTGAGTCAACAATATCCCTGACATTCTCAAAAGCACCAAATGTGTGTACCGTTTCTAGCATATGAAAGGGACCATTGATCTCAGGAAGACCACTGTTTATGCCAACTGTGACCATTGATACCCCTTAAAATACAGTATGTACACATGCTATTGTTTCCTGTTATAAAGGAAGAATTGACAGTGTTTCCTGTGGCTGTAGGAATTGTTCATTATGTACTCCTGCGGGATGGAAGAGAGCGCTATAGAGGGACAGGACACAGCTTTCAAGATCGTGGAGGGATACACCCCTTTGTAGAGTATATGTACCAGATTCGAGCCTGCACTATTGCTGGGTGTCTAGACAGTGCTAAGGTGAGATTATAGTAATGGATGGCAAACATGATAAAAATGATTTATATTACAGAGCTTTTATTAACAGGTATTTAGAAAAATGTAAACATTGCAATAGCATCTCAATGGGGATTAGCAGATCAACCTAGAACTTACAGCCAATCAGTCTCACCTCCTTCTTGGGGTGTGCTGCAAATAGTCATTCACTTTACCAGTTAACTATGTTCACCCAATCCTCCAAGCTGGCTGGTTGTGACAGCTTTACCTCCTGCTTGCCTGGAATGTTTCTTGGAGTCCTCACATGCTATACGCACGTGATGATTTAAGGGGCCTTAGACCGTTGCAACAGAGGGGGAGAGAGGCTCCAGGGACCGGTCTACAGCTCAGAGGATCAGGTGAGTATAACTTTGTAATTTTCCTCCCTCGACCAGAATGAGCACTTAACCCTTGCAGTGCAGGGGGATTGCTTCTTTAAGCAAATTGATTTAGAGGACCACTTACCAATCACTCCTGGCTTCTAGAGTGAAAAGCAATTACCCTCAAACAGGAAGCCTGTGCTCCATAGGTCTTCCTTCAAGGGAATTTGTTTTATTTATTTATTACAGGTATTTATATAGTGCAGACAATGTATGCAGTGCTTTACACAGTGCTCATTCACCTCACTCCCTGCCCTCAAGGAGCTTACAATCTAAGGTCCCTATCTCACATGCATACATACGAGGGCCAATTTGACATCGTGAGCTCCACCTTCAAGATAGCGGTGGGCATGCGCAGAACACGCTGGTGGTCAATATGGCCGCCACGTGTTCTCAAAACGAATTTATCTATGCCCAAATATTGTTTTCGTATATTCGGGCATATAATAAATTCATTATTTCGGATTCAGACGAACCGCCGAATCAACTGAATTTAGTTGATTTGCAGGTTCGTCTGAATCCGAATGCACATGTCTACTTGCAGTACTGAGGCTGCTACTCCGCTCCACATTGAACTTAAAAGTTGTCCTTTAGTTACTCATTAGCTATCATAACTGAAGCTATTTGATGTAATAATGGTATTGAAGGGAGGGATATTTCGCTTTTCAATATCAGAATTCCTGCCCTAGTATTAAAGAATGCAACGGATTTGCTGTATTTTTCTTGAAGACGTTTCTCTGGTCATCCGACCAGCTTTCTCAATCCAGTATGACTTCTATGACTTCTACAGAAATTTCTCTTGGAGCAACGTTCCACCATATTTATTCCCAGATAATTTTTGTACAAGTCACTCTGAATTGAGAAAGCTGATCAGATGACCAGTGAAACATCTCTAAGAAAAATACAGCACGTCCGGTTGCTTTGATTTATTTTTTACAGACACTGCAAAGCAAATTTAAAGGAGAACTATGAGGTGAGTGCTTTTCACTCACCTCATAGTTCTAGCCGACGTGTGACAATGAAACTGTCACTGGATTCCCCCCTCCCCGATCCTCCAGCGCTGACTGGTGGAACGGACGGGGGAGGGGGCGGGTACAGCTGGCATCTAGATAGGCAGAGCCAGCTGTCACTCACGCAGCTGGGCGGATCCAGACATAATTGTCAGGATCCACTTCAGCTGTGACGTCTCAGTATACCGCGAGCTGTAGCTCGCGGTATACTGAGCTTAGGGTAACGGGAGTATTAAACTGTATTTAAATTCAAAAGAAGAAATGTAATGACATTCTTCAGTCCTTAGATGTGTTAGCTGCATTTATTTCCCTTTTTGCCTTTATTTTTATCTGCTGAAACTAAGAATAACTAACTTCCTGTCCTAGGGTGACAACACTCTCTCACCATACTGCATCAATAGAGCATAGTGTTGATGCCTTAGGCTGCTCTCCTGATTTGGATTACAAACACCTCCTCTTATCTTCATCTTCATTACTTGAGGATGGGGGGAATTTGTAATTCACAGAAGATTGCTTGAAAGGAAGATAACATGGTTTGAGATTTCTGTTGAGCTCACAGGAAGTGACAAAGACTCTGCTTTTCTGAAAAGTTAAACAGGTATTTCAAGGCAGAAAACTAACGCAGCCACAAGGACTGGCAAGCTGCAACATTTTTGGTTTGGGGTTTAGACAGGGACGTATCTGCCACGAGGCAAACAAGACGTGTGCCTTGAGCGGCAGTTTTCAGGGGTTTGGCAAAAATGCCGCCCCCAAAACACTTAGGCAGCCAGACGGAGGAGGCGGCGGCGGAGAAGTCAAAAGACGGAGTCAGCAAGGAGGCAGCAGTGGAGGAGGCGGAAGAGGCAGAGGAGTTGGAGACGCAGGAGGGGTGGAGCAGTGGGAGGGGGCGGGGTGAGGCGAGGCTGGGTGATGTTGGATCAGGAAGCGGCGGGACCAGGGTGCCGTAGGAAGGCGGGTCACCGAACAGCTGTCGGGCTGCGGAGGAGGCCAGGTCATGCAGCACCAGTCCAGCGGTGGAGGAGGCCGGGGACCAAGCAGCAGGTAAGATGATCACACTGCTGCTGAAGGGACCCTGCAGAGCCCAGCATGGATTCTGCACAGCCCACCTGAGAGTCTCGGGTTTCAGGTGGGCTTTGCAGGATCTGTGGTGGGCTCTGTGGGGTATATGGTGGGGAGAGGTCACCACACTTCCTGCACTGGTCTGCAGGGTCTCGGGCAGGGCCGGATTTACTCTCCCTGCCGCCAGGTTCCGCAATACGCCCCCCTCCTTCCCATCAATGGAGAATGGCAACCAGATGGCAGTGCTGCGGGGTTAGTTTCAACTTTTTTATCACTTTTTATTTAACCCGGCGCCCGCAACTTCCTTACAAGGACACTGCTGCCGCCCCTCTGCGCCCTGCCGCCTTGTGGGGAATCCGGCCCTGGTCTCGGGGGTGTGTGCATGACCTGTGGTGGGCTCTGCAGGGTCTCGGGTGCTTTGCAGGTCTGTGGTTGGCTTTATGACAGAGCCCACCACAGATCCTGCACAGAACCCCTGAGATTCTAGAGATTTAGTGGGGGGGGGTGCCCTAGTGTCGTCTTGCCTAGGGCAGCCCCAAACCAGAATACACCACTGGGTTTAGCTATCCTTTAAGAAGACATTGATCAGTTCCTGTTTATTGGTTCTAAAATAAAAGTTGTTTGTTCTTTGGTGGATTTTGTTTCTAATAAAGGCGATTGCAGCTACAAAACAAGGAGTTCCTGAAAATGGCCTGCCACCTATTGTCACCACCGTGAACTCCACAGCGCTACACGTCAGCTGGGCGGAGCCAAGAAAACCAAATGGTGAGATTAGAGAGTACCAGTTACACCAAGTGGGCAGAGGTCTCATCCATGTCAGCGTCTCAGGGAGGAAACAATATACAGTAACAGGTATGTAAAAAAAATGAACTACAACCCAAGCATGAATGGGTGATTATGTAGTCTGTAGAACTACAAGCTTCAGCATGCCCTGACATCCACCAGCGTGGCATTACATGTATTGACAAATGTCAGTACAGGACGGCTTTTGATGTATTGACATTTGTTCATACATGTAAAGACACACTGCTGAGTTTTGACATCACTGTGCATATCAGTCCCTAACTCTATTCTATCTGAATTCACAAGTTTGGAAAAATACATATCGCAATGAATAACTTACAAGCAGACTTACCTGAAGGTAACCCCTTCTTCGTTACAGGATATGTCAAGGCAAAATAAAACATGCATTACATCTATGCAATACATGCTGTCCAGCTTCCTGATTGCTCGGGAAGCCGGCTCCATGCCAACAGAAGCATCAGTATCGTTACTTGGTATCTGCCAGTACCAAAAGCAAAATATCATTACTTGTACTCTATATCGAAAAGCCGGTATCGGTGCATCCCTAATTATTATATATGCCAATATTTTTAAATCTGAAGCTTTTTTGAAATAATTTCTGGTGATCCTGCTATGAAGGTGTGCGTTCAGGCACGTTATGTTATAGAGTGACAACACTCTGGCCATGTCTTGCAATTGTTCTGCATTGTCACCTGGTTACACAGGTTTCTGATGGAGACTACAAGTGGCCATTTTAAAACACATTACACAGTTATGGTCCACTGTTGCCACCATCAGGAAATGCCATGCAGAAATCACCGGAGTGCATCTAGACAGGAAGTGGCTGCAATGAGGCTGCAGAAGATCAGCAGCACTGCGATCTAAGAACGGATATAATAAAAGTAAAAACAAATATCGTATTTGGGAAAAAAGGCAATTGTTCATGATACACAGTACATTAGCAAACTAGTTTACATCTACTTTTTCTTCTGGGGGGATAATGTAGACTGAACGGAGGGGCCGCATGACTGGGGGGAGGAATAGTCCCTGGAGAAGGGGTTACAAATAAGATCGGAATTAGCTGTTCTTACCTGATTGGATGTTGGGGCCAGGTGTCCGGGAGGAGCTGCATGAATTAAACAAACAAAATCAAGAAGGAATGAAGAACCCCTTTAACCCCTTCATGACTGAGGCCTTTTTTTTCATTTTTTGCACCCATAGGGGTTAGAGATAAAATGGGGATTCGCTGATCTTATCTAAATGGACGTTGGGATCAGGTGTCTTGGAGGAGCCACATAGGTTGGAACTGCAAGGGCTGAGGGGCATTCTTTCTGGAAAATCGACGGAGGAGGAAGGTTGTCCCACCAGCCCTCCCTGAATTTTGTGGTTCTGCTGGTTGCAAGGTTCTTTTTATGTCACGGCAGCTTGGCGGGTTAGGGGGTCTTTGGGGGGTCTGAAAATCAGAGTCAATTACACAAATGGGGGGCCATCATCTGGCATGGGTGCTTCCCCCTGTTGGTGTCAGGATTTGCAGGGGGGGAGGGGGGCTGGTCCCTTGGAACTTGGGAGCAGTAATTGTCTTCGAGCTGGTTGGGGTGCGGCTGGGGACATGGGAGGAGTTTTTAGGAGAGGCCTTATTTGGGCTGTGGGCTGTGGGCAAAGACCCCTTCTCAGATCAAACAGTCCTTTAGAGTATTTATTTGTATATTATTTGGTTTATTACTTTTGGTTATTGTTAAAGTTGGTTTGTTTAATAAAAGGGCTGCTGTGGCCGTTAAAATCCATGTCGCGCAGTCTGTTTATTGGGGTTTTAACAGAGGGATGAAATCGACGAATCCATCAGTCATGGAGTTTCCTGTATAACTCTAGAAGTTCTATTTTGATTTCCTCTTTTGTTCTGATACAAGAATGGAGAGAGCGGAGTTTGCATGTGTTGGGTGTTTGCTGTGTTCGGTGTCTCGCCTAGCTGTCACATCGGCAATGACTGCTAACAAACGGAGAACTCTGACATTGGCCAGAACAAGCTCTTCCCTTCCCTGATTATTTTTAATTCCATCAAAGCTATGCTTCTATCATCCCTGGGAGGCTTTGTGGGAATTGCGGTAAATGTGCTAGTTGCATTAAATCCATAAATTGCTTATAATCCTCTAAAGATGTTATAAAAAGCAGGCGGTAATTGGAGACGGAAGTCCTCGGTTAATTATTTAGAGGTGTTATCAATGCTTTAAGTAAACTGAGGAATCTTCGGCTATCGCACTGAGCTGGAGGCTTCTGGGAGCCGGCGTGCAGCCGCTATCATCTTCTCAAATTCTCTAATGCAAACAGCACATGGCAGCTTGTCAATAAAGGCCTTTTATATCATTTATTAGTGAATACTTCCACCGCCCTGTACAAAACAATTTGTTTCACCTTGTGTTACCGTTACCTTACAAATGAGTCGGAGGCAACACGGCAGAGAGGGAAATGCAGTTCGGGGAAACATGGCCCTAGGTAAGTTATATTGGCTATTGTTTTGTCCTTAGTGATTGGAACATTTGTAACACGTCATATAATACAACAGGCAGAGTCACAGGCAATGGCAGCCAACTGTCTCTGACTTTCACGGAGAGTTCTGGGTTTTTAAAGTAGCTGTAAACCCGAACTGGACAGCATTATGTTTGTTAAAATACTGTGTATCATAAACAATTGCCATTTTTTTTGTCCATAAAATACTGTTTTTACCTTTATTCTTCCTTTTTGTGCTGATCTCTTTCAGTCTCTTTTAACCACTTCCTATGTACATGTACTCCAAAAAAAAAAAAAACTGCTGAAAAAGATAATACTGGTTCCAATGGAAACTGTTGTGTATGGGGCTGCTTAGCCACAGACTGGTCAGGGTGCCCATGTTGACCAGTGTCCACTGCCTAAAGCCTACTACAATGGGGATGTGAGCATCAGAACTGGACCATGGTACAATGGAAGAAGGTGGTCTGGTCTGATGAATCATGTTTTCATTTACATCATGTGGATGGCCGGATGTGTGTGTGTCGCTTATCTGGGGAAGAAATGGCACCAGGATGCGCCATGGGAAGAAGGCAAGCCAGCCTAAGCAAGTGTGATGCTTTGGGCAATGTTTTGCTGGGAAACCTTGGGTCCTGTCACTCATGTGGATGTACTTTGACACATACCACCTACCTGAATGTTGTTGTTGACCAAGTACACCCCTGCATGGAAACGGTATTCCCTGATGGCAGTGGCCTCTTTCAGCAGGATAATGCGCCCTGCCACACTGCAAACATGGTTCAAGAACAGTATGAGGAACACAACAACGTGTTTGAGGTATTGACTTGGCCTCTAAATTCTCCTGATCTCAATCCAATCGATCATCTGTGACATGTGCTGAAAAATAAGTCAGATCCATGGAGGCCTCACCTCACAGCTTAAAGGACTTAAAGTATCTGACTGCTACTGATGGCTTGGTGCCACATACCACAGCACACCTTCAGAGGTCTAGGGGAGTCCATGCCTTAAATTACTAATATTTGGTCTTGATCGCTACAATTACACATGAGATTATGGGATTATGTGTGTTGTCCAGTCTATTTACACTCAGTCAAGTGTCGACTACATATTATTGCTCTGTGCTGATAATTCCTGATAATGACAACAGTGGACCATGCACATGTAATCTCAACCAGAGGTGCATGTGATAGGGTGACACATGAAAAGTACTACACATGGGAGACAGTTATCACCCCACAACAGGATGTGACTGAACAAGGGCCAACTTGGCAGGACTGAAAACAATATTTGAAGTAGGCTGAAAAAAATACCCTTGCAGTGGGCCCCCATACTACACACCCCCTTCCCCATACACCCATGAACTGCTAGGGTTTAATGCTCTCTTTTTTTTTTTTTAACCTGGAGGCAGAGGAATAAGGAGTAATAATTACTTTATTCCCCACTCTGGAAGACTCGCTTCTATGAAGCTCCCAGCTGCAGTCAGACACTTACCTCTTCACATACCTGGCAGAACTAATAACCCTTGTATGTGAGGAGGTAAACACAGAGTGTCGGGGATAAAAGGAGAGCACTGGAGCCTCAACAACAAAATTATTCAATCACAGGGCCAATCATCTGATCATTCAAGCAAAATCCTTGGCACTGCTCACATACAGGGCTGTGTGGCTGTTGATGACATGCAGCCGCAGTATTTTTTTTGAAAATTGCAAAATGAAGCATAAATGATAACGCCATGAGCGATTTTTCTATAAATCTCACAAAACATATTTTTTTTTTTTACATCCGTTCTTTCAGTAATATACGTATAATGAATTGTGTTTTATGGTGCTTTTCTTGAAGATCTTACACGACTCCCTTTAGGGGAATTGGAATAATTGGTTGCCACTGTAATCCCCTCTATCTGAAATGTTACATTCCTGCCGTTCCTCCATAACTTACTTCACAAGGCTTTCAGAGACCATTTCTTATCATCTATATCACACTTCCAATCGCTGACAAGTCATGTGGGATCTACATATCCATTGGTCATTGGTGAGGCTTGTCAAGTTATACGCAAAGTGCATAATTTCATCTTCATTTTAAGTGAGCCTGTCAACAAAGAAATATGTAAGCGTCTATTGTTAAATGTATATGTACACTATATTGCCAAAAGTATTGGGACGCCTGCCTTTACACACACATGAACTTTAATGGCATCCCAGTCTTAGTCCGTAGGGTTCAATATTGAGTTGCCCCCTCCCCCCAGCTTCAACTCTTCCAGGAAGGCGTCATGTTGCAACAGGAAGGGGCCATCCCCAAACTGTTCCCACAACAAACCCGTGCACTGGTGACCATTGCCTCTTGGCAGTCCCAACAGGATCACAAGGTGAAAGTGAAGGAAAAGAAATTGGAACCTATTGTAGCCACCACATCTAAGGACTGGTAAGCTACAATATATTGCATTTTTGTATTAGGGTTTAAGGTGCAGACTCAGGGGCTGTCATGCTTATCTGTGTTGCAATACTTAATGAGTCACTGACCCAGAATAAACATGCAGACAGTGGACTGTTAGGTGCAGGGGTGTCCACAGGCATGGTGTCACCTGAAAGTGGCTGCTGGGTGACACCCCTCTGGGACACGCACTTACTTGCCAGCAGCCATCTAGGTGATGGACATTCACCCGGCGGGATAAAGTATGCCACCAGATCCACTCCTCTCTCGTGCAACTGTTGGGCTCTTGGTCCATGACCGAGTGCTAGACTTTTCAGAGGGGGTGACACCAAAATGACTGTCAGTCATTTTGATGTCACCCCATCTGACGGTGTCACCCAGTGCGCAGCAGCCCCCACCCTGCACCCCCTTGTGACGCCACTGGTTAGGCACCATCCTTTAAAGCTTATAGTGTGTGACGGCACTCCAGTTTAGCTGACACTTCCCAGAGTTGGCTTTGTACACTATAAACCCCTGGTGGCCAAGGATGGTGAAGGAAATATTCATTACATTAGTTTCCACTAGATATATGATACATTTTACTTCTTCCACACGTTCCAACTTTTTGTGTCTTGCCCATTCTATATTCCCCTTTTGTGTATTTCTCCCTGACCTTTTATAGTGGATATCAAATCCGGTGCCTGTCATTTTTAAGAGGGCTGTAGCGAGTGTTGATTTCTGAAGGGGCTGTAATGGAAGTGATGTCAAGCAATCCTTTGGAATGTGTCTCCAGTTTTTAAAACATGCTTCCTCACTCAAGAGACACTGCAGAGGACCATACATGCCCGGCTTAGTCCTTCCTGGCAGTCCACAAGGTACTCTAGGGGCCCTGCCCTGGCACCTCGTACCCATTTGTAGGGAATGTTGATTTGTAAATGGACTGTAATGGCAGTGATGTACAACAGTCCTTTGGAACCTGTCCCCAGTCTGTATTCATACTCCTTCCCTCAAGGAACACTACAGAGGGTCATACCTGCCAAGTCTGCTCCTTCCTGACAGTTCAGAGTACGTACCACTTACCTCTGCAGAGGATCATACATGCCAGGTCTTGTCCTTCCTGGCAGTCTACAAGGTACTCCAGGGGCCCTGCCCTGGTACCTCGTACCCGTTTGTAAGGAGTGTTGAGTTGTGAAGGGACTGTAATGGTAGTGATATCTAACAGTCTTTTGAAACATGTCCCCAGTCTCCATTCATACTCCTTCACTTAAGAGACACTGCAGAGGGTGATACATCCCTTGTCTGCTCCTTCCTGATCATCAACAGGGTACTCCAGGGACCCCACCCTAGTACCTCTTATCCATTTGTAGGAAGCGTTGTTTTGTAAAGGGACTGTGTCTCTTGTAATGTGTCCCCAGTCCCAGTCCATGCTCCCTTAGTCAAGGGACGCTACCAAGAATCATACATGACAAGTCTGGCCCTCCTTGGCAGTCCACATGGTACTCCAGGGGCAACATACTGGTGCCACTTATCTTTTTGTAGGGAGTGTTGATCTGTAATATCAGTGATGTCTATCAGTCTCTTAGAAAGTGCCCCCAGTCTTTTGCAAAATGCCCCTCCCTGGCACCTCTCACCTGTATACATCTCTATCATTTTTCACTAGTTGTCAGCAGCACCTGCATTTTTAAAATGGTTCTCCAGAAGGTCTGTCGGCTGGAAGCTTAGCTGCATAGATCCAGACATGTCTGCTTCCCATCCTGTGTGCGTCCTCCTTCTCTAATTGATTTATTTTATTTTAGAGTGGCTGTGCCTTGGCTTTGATTTAGTGTGAGGGAACTGACGGAGATGCAACAGTCACTAATTGGGGCCTGTTTTGTCCTGGAGGAAAGCGTTGTGCTCTGCAAATGACTTCAGCGCAGAAAGGCGTTCTTTAGCTGGCCGTGGCTCTTCGCGAAGGTCATTTGCAGACGACGTCTAGAGTTCTGAGCACCTTCCGTCCTTCGAATGGGAAAAGATGCGCTATAATCACAGGGCAATTCCAACCGGATCTGGCAGCTGTGCCTTGCCCTGTGCTGAATTCAGGGAGCTAATTTAGTAGCTCTGTTTTGCCTTTTGACATTATTTTTGCTGTATACGCAGCACGTTGACATTTTTCAGGTTACGTTTATCGAGCTATGGGGCTAAACAGATTTATAGCTATTAGGAAATTTGTGTGGCTCACTGTCAGGGGAGACGGGGCTTTTATAAGGGTTTCGTTTATTAGGTTTCCTCTTTCATTTCCTACAAGCGTGAGAGAAAATTGAATTTACCTAAGGTGTGTGCCTTTGTAATGTAAGCCTTAAGATCGGCTCTGCCATGGGGAAAAAATGGCTGCAGGTACAAAGTGCAGGCATCTAGAGGTGTACAAACCAAAAACCTTGTTGTTGCGGTGAGACAGCAGGCCGTTCAAAGCTCTGGTCCTTCCTTCCTTATGCACGTTCTTATTGGTCAGTCAGATTGCCCATCCTAGCAGTGTTAATTGTGACAGCAAATTTTGTTTGTGAGGGTTATTCACAAAGCTAACCAAAGGATCAGCCGCAGCTCCAGGTGAAGGTGAAGTGACACCCGAAATGGGGCAAAGTCCAGCCATTGACCGGACAAAAGCCTTGCAACTGACAGCTGGGTGGAGCTACCTGGGGCGTTACATGGAGACGCTGAACCGTTATTAAACAATGACAACTGGGCAGAGCCGGCCGTGACGCCACAGCCGACCCTGCCCAGTTATTATTCTTTGGCCGGGACCTGCTAGAGTCTTCTAACCTGACCGTCCCAGCTAATAGGAAACAGTTGAACGGAGCTAGCTGTCACTGCTAGCTCCGCCTAATTGTTTTTTTTAATTCTTTTTTTAAAGAAATCTTTATTTATTTTTTGAACTTTATAATTTATTTACATTTGTAAACATTTTTTTTCTACTTTTTTTCACTGATTTCCTATTCTGCTCGGTACCACGGAGGTCGGCCGTGGTACCGAGCAACTCAGATGTTGGTCCGGCTGAGTTGAACGTGTTCTTCACTTCACTTCACTTTACTTCACTTCGGCTCAGTCGAACATGCTGATGTACGGATGAAATCAGCTGTACAAGCCCGAAGTGAATAGCTGAAAAGCGTTCAGCTCACTTCACTTTGGGTGGGTTACTCACTCGGCTGCCTTCGGCAGCTTTGTAAATAACCCTCTTAGTTTTAGGCCCCATTCACACTGCGCGATTCACAAATTGCGCGTTTGTTGTGCGATTTGCATTTTGCGCGATATCGCGCAAATGCTTGCATTGAGCAAGCTAGAATCACGGCAAAATCCGCTCCAAAAAGGGTCCTGCTGTAGCGACGCACGACCCGCGACAGCAGGACCCTTTGCCCCATTGCCAAGCATTGGAGAGCGATATCGCGCGGTAAATAGCCGCGAAAGCGCTGGAATTATCGCGCGATAAATCACTCAGTGTGAACGGGGCCTTAGTCTTAAACTGGCCATACACCTAGAGATTATCTGCAGATTTTCTATGGTCAGATGGAAAAAGTGCAACAGATTCCTCCATCTACGCTAAACTGTGTGGATGGAGGAATCTCCCGCTGGGCCAAGCTTCAGTATCTTTCTAGTCGCCCCCGCTGGCTGTCAAAATACCTGAACAACCTGATTGGATGCAGGCATTGTTTGCATTTGCTTACCCCGAAGAACACACAGAACACCTCCCTTTCTCATCTTCATAACATATCGGGGAGGTATTTTGTAGTTCGCGTTCGAACTGGGCAAGGCTGATAACATTGCTTGGGATTTCAGTGCAGGACATTATCAGCTCACAAGATTCTTGTCAGGATCAATGTTTTTTTTTTAAACTTATCAAACAAATATAACAAAAGTCTTTCAATTAAGTGAGGGAAATGGAGCAAACTCACTATTGTTTTCCTCTATCTTGTAAACAATTTATTTTCCCTTTTCATTGTTCTAGGGCTTGAACCATATACAAAATACTTCTTCTTCCTTGTCATCTGTACCTCATTTGGATGTAGTAACAGTGAGGTGTCTGCAGGTCACACGTCACAAGCCGCTCCTCAAGGTACATTATCATTAATGCTATTGGATGTGTTTTATAGTTCCTGTGTCCATTCATTTGCTATGGATCTTAAATGCATGTCCATGCATCAAACTTTTATAGCTGACCTTTTTTTCCCCATAGTACCCGAACACAGCATTTGCTTTCTAACGAGAGGGTCAGGTGCATTTATACTGAATTAATGTGTACTGGGTCCCATTAGAAATGAAAATGAGCACATGTACACTGCTCGTGTGCAACTTACATTACAACACCTATACATGTGTGAAGACAACATGAAAGGCCAACTTCCAAAAACAAAATCACCCAGGACTGCAAAAAAAGCAGATACTCTCCTTTTATCTGGTGCCGAGCAGATATCAGTGACAGCCCCTGCCCAAATCCTATAGTTGGGCTTTTAGAAGAGAACCCACAAAAGAGAAGTACAGGAGATGCAATTGCTGACTTGTGTTTGAAGCTGCATGTTCCAGAGTAGACATGTGCGATTCGTTTCGTTACGAATCGAAATTCGTACGAATTTCCTGAAATTCGTAAATTCGTACGAATTTCCTGAAATTCGTAAATTCGGAAGCATCCGAAATCCGAATTGCAGTTGACGAATTTATCCGAAATACGAAATTCCGTTAACGAATTTCGGATCCGAATTTCGTTGAAACGGGAACTAATAATATTACCCCTGTGACTGAGGTTGAACAACAAGACAGGATTTTTTTTTTATCCGAAATACGAAATTCGGATCCGAAATCTGTTAACGGAATTTCGTATTTAAAAAAATTACTGTTTGGTTGACCAATCAGAGGTTTTCTGTTCTGCTGCTGAAGGTTACATTACAATACAGGGAGGAAATACGAAATTCCGTTAACGGATTTTCGCTCCGTTACGAACATTTGTTATGATGAAGTTAAAAAGCAAAAATACCTTTGTTAATATTGGAGTTGATGGTAGTTTTTTTTTAATACGAAATACAAAATTAGGATCCGAAATCCGTTAACGGAATTTCGTATTTCCTGCCTGTATTGTAATGCAACCCTCAGCAGCAGAAGAGAAAACCTCTGATTGGTCAACCAAACATTTTTTTTTAATCCGAAATTCCGTTAACAGATTTCGGATCCGAATTTCGGATTTCGGATTTAAAAAAAACTACCATCGACTCCAATATTAACAAAGGTATTTTTGCTTTTTAACTTCATCATACGAATGTTCGTAAAGTTACGAAAATGTGACGAAACTAACGAAAATTCGTATTTCGTACGAATCCGGATTGAGTTTAGGACACGAATTCCGAAATTAAGAAATAACGGATATTCCGAAACGAAACAAATTTTTTGACGGCACACAAGTCTATTCCAGAGTTATAGCCCTTACCACATATTAGACATGTAAGCTGCGGAAAAATTCGGTTTGGTTGGATATTTCGGAATTCAGGATTCGGATCCGAAATTCAATTCGGGTCGGGTTTCAGATTTAGTTAGTTTCGGATGAGTTTACGAATATTTGTTGCGAGTAAAACAGAAAACCATATACAGATATTAATACTAAAGCTGAATCTCCTAGATGGCATTCGGGATCCAAATTTCTGAATTGCATTGGGGAGCTCCTGAATGCCATTCGGGTCTGGGAGCCTCAGTTTTAGTATTATATGTATAAACTGTATATGGCTCCCCTGTTGCCATAACGAAAATTCGTGTTCAGACCCATTCAGATGCATTAAACCGAAAAAAACATTTGATTGGCCAGAAAAGTCACATGTCAGATTCAGTTTAGTTTTTGAACGAAATTCAGACGGGATCCGAAATTCGGAAACGGAAATTCGGATTCGGATGCATTGGGATTCGGAAGTTTGGATGTGTCCGATTTTCTGAAAATTTGTCCGAATTTTTATTTGAAATGAAACGAATTGCACCATGCCTACCATGTATGCACAGTACATTATTTTAACAGTCTTGGAACTTGCACTTTAAAAAGAAGCCAGCTTTGCCAAAAAAAAAACCACTACCCTCCAAAGCGATCTATAGCTTTTTTCTTTGTTTAAATAAAGATTATAACATCAAACTAAATGTACCTTGATCCATGATCCATTGACAGCCAGTATCCCAGGCCCCTGCAATGTGGGTTAGTACTTCTAGCACATCCCATCCTGTTGTCCTGGACACTGGTCTTGCACTTATTACAATGCTGGCATGATGAAGTTAATGAGGGGGCAGTAAAAAGCCTGGCTGGAAACCAGAAAAAATGGGCAGCTGCAGTGGACCGCTCATACCTACTGGATGGTTTAAAGCAGTGGTCCTCAACCTGTGTAACTTCAGGACCCACATTTGTCCTTGGTCATTAAGTCGCGACACAAATCGCACTGCAATGGACCACACAGCAATGCGGTACCGCGCGGTACCGTGCGGCGATCGGGCTGTGGGTGGGAGGTGTGTTTGGGGTACCATTTCAAATTAATGGAAACGCAACACACCTCCCACACCAGAATGCGTAGTAGGTGTGATTGCTGGTACAGTGCGTTACTCTGGTCCAGGCACCTCTACAGCACACATGAGTAAGCTGTATGCAATGCACATATGGATGGAGCTCCCTTGCGGCCACAGCCCCATCCTATCCCACCTCCAGCTGACATTCGACGCTGGGCAGCATATTCTGAATGGCTGCTTGGTGCAAGAACTGACAGTGCTGTACTAGAGGGAGGCTGAGGAGCCTCTCACCTAGAAAAGTGGAAGGCATGCAGCGACCCACTGAAAATGGGGTCACGACCCACTTTTGGGTCACGACCCACCAGTTGAGAACCAAGGGTTTAAAGACAATTGAACCTTTGACACAAGCTGCCCTTTAGGCCACGCCCTCACCGCTTAGCGGGCAGCCCACCAGGTCCAATTCTTATCTTAGTCCCTGTTTTAGCAAACTTCCTTAGGGCTTGTTCACACCGAATGCGGTGCGTTCCAGAGCGTTCTGGGGCGGGAGGGGGCGTGGCGGTGCATTGAATTCTCTACCGCTCTTGAACGCACTGCATTCAGTGTGCACAAGCCCTTATTGTGCACAGCCTTCCTTCCAAAAGTGTCCTTGCAGGGTCCTCTCCATCCTATGCATGTGAAACACAGCCTGATTTGTTCCTATGGGGAGAGCTTTACTTGGCAGTATGACTCCCCATAGCAATGAATGGGGCCATGGCACGCATGTGCAGGACAAAGAGAACCTGTCGAGGATGCTTTTAGAAGAAAAGATTGGCTGCTCCAGGCAGGGCTGCACAATGAAGATTGCTGGAACAGGGGTAGAGGTAAGTATCGGACAAGATGGACTGCCTTCAGTTGTCCTTTGAAGCAACAAATCTGGAAATAGCATATAGAACCATGATAAATAAAATGATACGTTTTTTCAAAATTTAGTAATACAATAAAAGATGCAACAAAAGAATAGTATTAAAATAAAATGATGTAACAAACAAACAAACAAACACACAACAAATCATCATATTTAGAAGTTGCCCATATAAATATCTCTAATAGCAGCTGTTCTTTTCCTGCCCTAGGAGTGTGGTTGAATCCCTACCACATCACAATCAATTCATCAGCCCTGGAACTATATTGGAGGGAACCGGAGAGGCCCAATGGGATGGTTTCTCAGTATAGACTAATACGGGATGGTACAGTCATTTCCACAAGAAGTGGGGAATATCTGAATTTCACCGATTCTGGCCTGAAGCCCAACAGCAGGTAATGTTTAACACTGATCTATATTAAGCTCTCAGCCATGATTAACAGAGATATTGTATCTGGGCTCGGCACAAACAAGACTTTTACTTCCTCTTTTAAAAAGGGAAAAATCATTATTACTTATTCATTCAGAGGCATTGACAGAAACTCCTGCAGGACTTTTGTCATTGCACATATTGAAGAGACTTATATCGACTGCAGGCTGCTTTTACTGCTTTTCTAACATAAAACTAGATCACCCTTCAAAGAGAAGGAAAGTTATTTTTCACTCCTCTGTATTTGCCTCCTGATTGGCCACTGGTTTTTCATGGATTTTTTACTTTTTAAGGAATAACGCGGGTACATACAAAGCACTTTTTTGAGTTTGCAATGATTGGGAAGTTTAGATCTCTTAGAGATCTAGTTATAAAAAAATGTGTGTAGGCAACCGTCCAGCAAAACGGCATGTACGTTCTGTCTGTGCATATTAACCAACTATTGTGAGAATGAGGCAAAAAACATATATTTTTTTTCCCTTCTGGTCGAATGTTCTTCAAATATTATGTGGCAAAATACCACATTATGGGCATCAGATGGTGCTAAGGATTATGACAAATAAATACAAAGATACAATGTAACAATTCAAGAGAACACTGGAGGGAATTAGCAAATAAATGTAACCCTTGCTTCTATAGGGATACCCTGTGTTAGCTACTAGACATGTGCACTGTCAAAAAATTTGTTTAGTTTCATTTCGCTTTAATTCCGATTTTTTATTATTTCATTTTTCGGGATTCGGGTGTGAAAGTCAATTCGGATTCGGAATTCGGACGAAATTCGTTAGCGGTAGTTCGTTTGAATGTTCGTTTCGTTTTCGTTTCTTATTCGTGTCGTTCATTCGTTCGTTCGTTTACAGCAAAGTGACATTTGAAGGGGGAAAAATGTTTTTCTCCTTCTCTAATGCCACTCAGCTGCAACGAACGAACGAAACGAAAATGAACGGTCGAACGAACTAGCACTAACGAATTTTGGAAACGGAAATTCGGATTCGTTTGCATTAGTTATATCTGCAATTCGGAATTCGGATACATCCGAATGTCCGAATGTCCGAAAATTCGTCCGAATTTTGTTTTGGAACGAAACGAATTGCACATGTCTATTAGCTACTTCAGGACCGCTCACAGTCAACGTCCTATCCTGAAGTAGTTATTCTAAGAACACGTCTGCTGCTGCAGCCATGTTCTTGGTATACAGCCGCCAGATCGCTTGTACGGTGCGGTGAAATGAGCTCCCCCACCTCCATTGGCTTCCCCTGGCTCCGCTATCCCCCATGCGGGAACAGCGAGTCTCCCCTGTCAGATCTGAGGGAGATCAGCAAGCTTCCAGCCGCTGATCTCTCCTCTGATTACTGTACCCAGAAGTTATATGTGTTACCTTACTTCCGGTGTCACTGTTTACATTCTCCAGGTCTTAGAACCAGGAGAAAAAGCTGGTGAAGCAGATCTCTGCTTCATTAGCTTCTTTGGGGAAAGACCCCTGATGTCTCCAGTAAGAGGACCTGTCAGATTATATTTGCTATTACATGGGGGCTTGTTATCCCCCTATGTGATAGCAATAAAGTTGAGTTTAAAAAAAAAAATTTGAAAATAACATGAAAAAAATTAAAAATGCAAAAACATTTTTTTTTCATTCAACCGCCCCCCACGTGCATGTACATAAAACATAAACAGGCGTCGGGTGCACCAACGCGCAAAACCGAAAATTGCACCACACATGTTACATATGGTCACGAACGTCAGAGTGAGAGCAATAAGTCTAGGGCCATCAATCACTGGTAACACTAAACTGATGAGCAGTCAAATCTTTTAAATCATTGTCTATGGGAAATTTGGGGTATTGTAGTTTTTGGCAGTTTCATGGGCGAAAGCAATTTTAAGGCTTGACATGTTTGGTGTCTATTTACCGGGCGTGACCCCGTCTTTTATATTTTACCAAAAAATTGGGTATTATGTTTCTGTGCACTAAATTTCATTTTATTGTATTTTATCCTAAAAATACTGGTTTGATAAACATCCTCGGTCCTGCAGTGGTGAGCACTTACCTGTCTCCCTCTCCATTCTGGTTGGGTGAAAGTTGATTCAGCATCCTTATGTCTAATGCAGCCGCATTAGACGTGATGATGATGTTGCATGTCCTTAGACCACCGGAGCCCCGAGAAGTGCCTGCAGGGACTGGTCTAGCAGCCAAGCGTGATCAAGGATTGGGTGAGTATGTCTTCTTTATTTAAGCCCCAAGACCAAAATGAGTGCTTAACCTTTGCAGTGCAGGAGTAGCCCCACTGCAAGGGTTCATTTTTAGATTTCCTAGAGTTCTTTAACAATTCCTGAGAATGCTGGAAGGACATTTGCAAATAAATGTAACCCTGGCTAGTGCAGTGATCCCTGTAGTAACAGTGGTTACATTGATTTACAATTCCCTCCAGCATTCTCTAGAATTGTTACATTGTTACATTGTATCTCTTGTTACTAATATGCATTCATTTCCTATGATCCTCAGCTCCCTCTCATGGTCATAATGCAGTATTTTCCTGATTCACTACAGACCACAGTAATTAAAGAACATTCGACCAGACGAGAAAATAGCCTAAGAACATTCTTGTTTGCCCCATTCTCATAATAGCTGGTGAATTCACTCTGAACGAATAGACATTCAGTTTCGCTGGATGAACAACTATGCAACTGTGCAACTATGCAACTATGTAATATATATATACTGTATATGTAACCTGTTAAAACAATACAAAAATGAATAGTCTATTAAAAGATAAAATGTAAAAGTGGCTTTTTCTGCAATGCCTTCATACAGAACATGTCCCCCACAATACTTCTTTTCCACTACTAGATGCAGGGTCGTCCCGCGGACGGGTGTCACCCGGAGCGGAGACCGGGTGGCACCCCGCCGTGACGTCATTGTGCATGTGTGTGTGCGATGACGTCATCTCGCATGTGCGACCATCTAATTGACGCCTGCCGGCGGCCATCTTGGTGATGGATGCCGGCAGAGGGAAGACTGGCGGAATGAGCTATGCTGCCGGGTCCCCTTCTCTCTCCTGACACTGTCGGGCTCTCGGTCCATGACCAAGTGCCCGACTTTATAGAGGGGGTGACACCAAAATGACTGTCAGTCATTTTGGTGTCACCCCTCCAATGGTGTCACCCGGGTGCGGGCCGCACCCCTTGCACCCCCCTTGTGACGTCACTGACTAGATACCCCTAGTGTTTTGTGTTCAATGATGGCTCACTTTCCCTGAGCCCAGGCTCTTATGAATGACTACAAGAGGCTATCACCTTATCAGATTCAGGTACGTACATTGCTTGCATTTAATAAAATACATTTAATCACATATCAATAAATACAGAGGTGCGTTAATTCTTATCTTGGGAGATTTCGGTGTAGAAATGTACTTGAGCTGGCTCCACTGCCCAAAGGCAAAGGATTTTGTTTACTGAAAATACTCTTTTCTTTCCCTGTAAGGTTCACATACCAGCTGGAGGCCAGAACAGAAGCAGGAGGCTCCATCAGTGATATCTATGTTGTAGACACCCCCATGCACACCCCGGAACAAATTCCTATCCCACACAATATCACTGTGCTCAGGCCGCAATCAATCCTTGTGACGTGGGATCTTCCAGGTAATATCCATAACCTAAACATCACATAATGTATACGGGGGATAACTATCACCTTTGCAGCAATTACTGTAGAAAATTTAGCACGGACCACTGATTAAACGGATGATGCGTGGCAGATATCTCATTTTTGGGTCAGGCTGAGAGGTTTAAAGCAGAACTCCAGTTTTAGATATTATTTACAAAATACAATACCCAAAGCACGCTAATTAAAATTCTGCAATACCCCCCTCATCTTCCAGTACTGGCCAGCTCTCTTCTTCCAGGTTTATTGACCCTCAGTGTAATTTAACCCACTTTCTGTGACCTGCAGGATGTCAATAATGTCCCCAGGGTGCAGCCTTGGCTCTTATACTCCTGGACTAAGTAGCACTCACACATTATTACGAGAGCACCACTCAGTGCTCACCACTCACCACTCAGGAGGTAAGAATCGTACATAGTTACATAGTATTTGAGGTTGAATAAAGACATTAGTCCATCAAGTCCAACCTATTAGGATCTCAATATAGTTCCCAGGTTGGCACCCAGCCCCCTTTTTGACTATTGGGACTACCGTAGCCCTCCGCCAATCACCGGGGATCCTACCAGTCATTAAGGAGTCCTTAAAAATGAGGATTAATGGTCTAGTTATAACCTGGCTTAATTCCTTAAGTACCTTGGGGTGAAGGTTATCCGGACCCACTGCTTTGTTTGCATTGAGCATTTTAAGTCTTTGTTGTATCCCGGTTTCCGTCAACCACTGGGGTATATTTTGAGTTAAACTGGGAGTTTTATCATGTGTGTCAAACCCGTTTCCCTCCCGAGTGTATACTGAGGAGAAAAAAGCGTTCAGCGCCTCGGCCCTCTCCTTGTCGTTTGTGACTAGCTTCCCGCTTTCATCCTTTATTGGGCCTATCTGCTCCTTTCTCACCTTTTTACTGTTAATATATTGGTAGAATTTTTTGGGGTTCTTTTTACTATCTGCGGCGATATGCTTCTTCACTGCTTCCACTGAGGACAAAGAGGAAGGACCCATGGTATACCCAAAAGAGCATGAAGACTGCAGAAGAAGAGATATGCAATGGGAATTTGGTAAAAATATTCATCCAAGGGGGCTTCAGGAAGGTTAGAAAAATACATTTCTGCTTTACCCATCATTTGGCTTACAATATTTACAATGTCTTATAGTGAGATTTTTATATCTGACTTCCAGGCTCCACTTACCTTCTCCAGCTATTAACCATACTCATTGCCTTCATGTAGTATTGACACAGCATGCTTTTGGAGGGCAAAGTTGGGAACTCTAGTGTGGGATCTCACCATTGGCGGCACCAGGGGCGTAACTAAAAATCACAGGGCCCCATAGCAAAATTTTGTATGGGGCCCTGTGATTTCTAGTTACACCCACCTGATAACCCAAACAGCCCATCTGAGAGTGACCCTCCAGAGCCCACCATACCCTCTATGGTGGGCTCTGCAAGGTCTCAGGTGGGCTGGTCAAAACCTCTTACCTGTCATTCCCCAATCCACTGTCCGCCGCCTCCTCCTCCACGATCGCTGGCAGGCCCTGCCTCCTCCATCATCGGGCCCCACCTCCTCCAGGGCTGAGCCCCGGCCTCCTCCTCCACAGTTTCTGCTGGAGGTCACTGACTCAGCAGCGGCTGTGAGGAGGAACGCGCCACTGCACACATCGCTGACAGGTTGTCAGTGATGTGAACAGCGGTGCGTTCCTCCTCACAGCCGGCAGTGACAGCCAAGAGTCTGAGATGCCATAGAGACCCAGGCGGCCCGCATGGCATCAGGGGGATGTCCTGGCAGGGCCCCGGGCCCCATAGCGGCCGCCTCGGTCGCTATGGTGATTGTTTCGACCACTGGGAGGCACAACGAGATGTGAGAATCTAGAGAATTATCAGTATAGAGAGTTTTTTTTTTTCTTCATATCTCTATAGGTTGAACTCGATGGACATGTGTCTTTTTTCAACCTGACTAACTATGTAACTCTATAGAGAGTGGTAAAAAGTTAGAACTTCTGCCACGTTTTTATTTGTTTCTACTAGGGAGATTAACCCTCCCTATATGTCCTGATGGCCATTGTCACCAGGACTGAAAGTGATAGAAAATCCAATGCCTTGGGTTGTCCCCAGAACAGACATAGGGAGAGAATCTTCCAGTGGGGCAATGAGGACACTTGTTCCAGTGACAACTGCCTTAAACATGGTTATGACATATTACAATTTGATTTTTTTTTACCATGACCAGTTAGAGCTTATGCTCATTCTTAAAGATACTATGTATTTGTTGCAATACATTTGAATAGAGAAAATAATCTCTTTGGATCTGACGCAAAAGATAACAGACAGAGTGCATTTTATTCCCCAATCACAGAAAAGCCAGAGCAAGGTATAATTTTCTAAATTGATTTTACTGCTGATAACATAAACAAATGCAGAAATATTGCGATCTAATACACAGGCTAACACACGCTTATAGAATAATCCCCAAGATATCCTAAGCAGCCCTGTTTTTAATATTAAACAATGGGATGGATGTGCATTCCCATCCATCCCATCACTTTAATTGAGAGTGACATCTGAAATGTACATTTTACTAAAAATAATGTATTGCACTCTCTGTTGTGTATTGTAATGACTTGACATCATGCGTCAGGGTACAATAGAATATTGTGCTGTATGTAATCTGTATATAGACAACTCAAGAACATTTTACATCTTGCTTATATATATGTAGTACTTGTATGTAGTCTGTCACACAAGCATTAACACAGATTTTAGTTTTTCTGGGTCCCCCTGTAAGAGGTTTTATGACCTGTTGATCCTGTGTGTAGATCCATTATTTTCCACTTCTATTAACAGGGTGACAACGCTGCCCATTGTGCAGTGAAATTGCACATCAGCATTGTCACCAGTGGTCAGTCTTAATCTGGGTATACACGGTTCTATTTTTTTCGTTCAACGTGCAAGCTGAAGGAATAAAATAGAACAGGTTTCACCATCAACAGCGTTAATCAAGGAATCCCTTGCTGTTTTTAGTGTATTCTGACAGCGGCTGCCGACCACTGTCAGAATAACAGAGTATGTGAAATTTAAAAAAAGAATGTCATATACTGAATGCTATCATTACAACGTGTAATGATAGCACTCAGTATATGACATTTTTTTTTCTACAGGTTTTAACCACATATACGGTAATTGCCATAGTACAATATTTGCCTCTGTGGTGGCCTTTTAAAGAGTCTCTGAGTCCCTTCAGAAAAAAAACAAAAACGTGTTGAAACTGTCCACCTGTCAAATCTAAAACATAAAAATGCCACTTCAGGGTGCTTATAGGTAGACATGCAGGCATGATTCCATTGTCCAGTGGCACTACACCATAAACAGAAGCATTCTGCTCAACCGAACATTCTTGCCCATGTGAAGGGAGATAATGAGCAGAACTAGTAGACACTGCCACCACTTTCTGTTTTGGGAAGGAGAAGGTCATAGCTTTCCGGGGAGGGTTTTTAATACGACCAGTCGATTATTCCCCACAGGAAATGGTGAGCCAGGATTCACATCATCACCTCATTTCAGGAGCCCACCCTAAATAAGTGTCAGATGATCATGATGCCAGGTGATGTTGGAGTTTACCCAGGCTGATGACGCCACGGCCTCTTCTGCACGTGTGTTTTTGATGATGGTCCACATTGTCTCATGCTCCATGGGGGAGTATGTAATGATGGTCACAGGCTCCCCCATTTCTGGGAACCATGTGAAGGCTTCAACAAAGCAGGAGCTTGCATACCTTTTTGGGAGCCAGGGCTGCCTGGAGGGGCTTTGCTCTGAAAGGGCAAATGACACTGTCTCTGTAAATTATATTTGTGTTGATGCAGTATCCTGTTTTTACTGTTTGTACTGTTGTTGATTAGTGTGTAATATGAAAATTTGAAAAAGTGCATCTTTCAATAGAACCTTTCATGGTCTGCATGACTAGGAGCCGAAGGCGTCGTCTCTTTGTTGTTTTAAAATATTGGCACAAAAAGGTGTCTTTCCTTCCCAGAAAGCTGGGAGGTTTGTGTGCATGTATATACAGGTGAAACTCAAAAAGTTACAATATCGTGCAAAAGTTCATTTATTTCACTAATGCAACTTAGCCGTCTACCAGGAGATTTTGGAGCACTTCATGCTTTCTTCCGCAGACGAGCTCTATGGATCACTCAATTTTGCAGAATTGTTGTAATTCAGCCACATTGGAAGGTTTTCGAGCATGAACCGCCTTTTTAAGGTCATGCCACAGCATCTAAATAGTATTCAGGTCAGGACTTCGACTAGGCCACTCCAAAGTCTTAATTTTGTTGTTCTTCAGCCATTCAGAGGTGGACTGTCCTGCTAGGTAAGCACCCTCAAGCAGCATTTTTATGTTTTAGATTTGACAGGTGGACAGTGCCCATTAAAGCTGTTTCAACATGTTGTTGTTTTTTTTGCTGAAGGCACTCAGAGACTCTTTAAAAGATCACAACACAGGCAAAATTTGTTTGATGATCTGCAACATTAAAGTGTGACAAACGTGCAAAACAATGAAAAATCAGGAAGGTGGCCGGGCCAACACTTTTTCACACAACTGTAAATATATAT